TTGATTCGAGTTTTTATTTTTTAAAATAAAAATCCATAAAAAAAAAAAACTTAAAACTGAAATAAATTTTTTTTGAGAAAAAAACTGAAATAATTATACAGAAACGAAACTGACATGGCACTCCATCAAAAGGAAAGCAAAGCATGTTTCTGGTGGAGGTTAAGGAGGAAAGTTGGAAAATGGACCAAAACAGAAGTACAAAGTAGAAAACGTTGCCTTGGAATCCTGGCAGGGGCATTGTCGTCAAACCACCTCGCATATTAACCGCCGCCGCCTCCACCTATTATCCCCTTCAAAAAACACTGAAAACGCACGCATTCATTCGTCCATTTCGATCCCCCACATAGCTGAGCTCAGGAATCTCGAATCTCGACGCGATGCGAGGCCACGATCGGATCAATGCGTGTCTCCCCAACGAGCTGATCGTCGAGGTCTTCCGGCTTCTCGACTCCAAGCTCAGCCGCGACGCCTGCTCTCTCGTCTGCAACCGCTGGCTCTCCCTCGAGCGCCTCATCCGCACAACCCTCCGCATCTGCGCCACCGGCAGCCCCGACTTTGTCGTCGACCTCCTCGCCCGCCGCTTCCGAAACGTCCGCACCGTTCACATTAACGAGCGCCTCAGCATTTCGCTCCCTACTCCCCCCGTAATCACTCAGTCGATTCGATCGATCCCCAATTCGATACAAATCGACTTATTCTAATCCGTCAAAACAAACAGGGCCTAAATGATTTTGGTTGTGTTTTTGAAGGGGAGGAGGCGCGCGACTGACATTGCGGCGGTTTCGTCGGTGAGGCTGCATTCTGCCAATGGGTCCGATGACGGCGTGCTTGATTCGAACAGCTTATCGGCGACGGATTCCCCAAGCTCGAAAAGTTGAGCTTAATCTGGTGCTCCAGTGTCTCCAGTATCGGGCTAACTTCGCTCGCTGATAAGTGTAAATTGTTGAAATCATTGGATTTGCTGGTGAATTTTTGCTTAATTGACCTTTAATGTCTTTTGTTATTGCTTTGTTAGAGTTAAATTTAAATGCTTGAAGTCTGCAATTCCTCGTTTGGACACTTAATTGGAAATTATGAGTATATTCCTACATGGGTTTCTTTTGGGTACTGTCTTGCAATCTTGCTTTCGTTAAAGGTGCATTCTTTACCGTAAGCATTCAAAAAATGTTTTCCTGTACTCCTTGTAAAAACATAGGAGAGAAAATGCACCTGTATCAGTGTCCGATGAATTTTTTGGGGTGCCAATAATTGTTCCCGATAATTTTAAAATCATATTGATATTTGCTATTTGATATACATGTTAAGTGCATGACATGACGCACCAGCTAACCTTAATTTTCTGTTTATGAAGGGTTGCTATGTTGGAGATCAGGGACTAGCTGCCGTGGGAAAGTGTTGCAAGCAGCTTGAATATTTGAATTTGCGGTTTTGTGAGGGATTGACTGACGTATGTGTGGTTGAATTAGCCCTTGGTGTTGGGAATTCATTAAAGTCTCTTGGTATCGCTGCCTGTGCAAAGATAACTGATGCTGCAATGGAAGCAGTGGGGCTACACTGCAAGTCTCTTGAATACTTGTCGTTGGATGCAGAGTTCATACACTAAAAAGGGGTGGTTTGTGTGGCCCAAGGATGTCCTGCTTTGAAATCTTTGAAGCTACAATGTATTAATGTCACAGATGAGGCTTTGACTGCTGTTGGAACTTCTTGTTTGTCGCTGGAGGTGTTGGCTCTATATAGCTTCCAGAAATTTACTGATAAGTCAGTACTCATTATTCCTAATATGGCTCTTCATTTATTACATGAATGTAACAGGACTTACATATTAAAAAATTAAGCATAATTCTTTATCTTCTCTTTGTTCCCTAGTAGTTTCTTATTGAGGCTTTCCAATAAGAAACTTCTTTATGGAATGAAGCGCTACAGTTTCTCAACTTCAGATTGTGCCTGCACACATCATTTTTTAAGATTACTGAAAAATGATGAAGTTTTGAGCTTGTCTGTTTCATTTTATTAATTCAGCTCACAGTTAAATGACTCTTTCTTTGTTTTCATGTCTGCTACATTTCAGAGGTTTACGGGCTGTTGGAAAGGATGTAAGAAGTTAAAAAATATTATTGTTAGTGACTGTTTCTTTCTGGGTGACAATGCTTTGGAATCAATTGCAACTGGCTGCAAGGAACTTACACATCTTGAAGTGAATGGTTGTCACAATATTGGAACATTGGGTCAGGAATCCATTGGAAAATCTTGCCCGTATGTTCCTGTCTCGGTTTAACTTAAATTGGTAATTTAGATGGTAATTATATGGATGGTTGGAGTGGTTCTCATGTTTAGCTTATTGATGCTGCTAAGCTGTGGGAAAATTCCATTGAGCTACATGCTTTCACTAGTATTTTTCTTTGAATGGGTTATAGGATACAATTAGCATGGATGTTTAGCAGTCAGTTTTGCCCGTAGGTGGAAACTTATGTACATTCAGAAGTTGTATCCTTGGACCTGTTTACATTCAGCTCAGTTGGCAGATTTGATGTGTGTGTTCGTTAACATAATTTCTTGCATGCCTATGGTAATACCTAGTTGATGTTACATTCTTGTTATGTATTCATTTATCTGTTGATGATAAGTTAATCCGAAGAATTTGAAAATGTGCAGGCGTCTTACTGAGTTAGCATTATTGTATTGCCAAAGGATAGGCAACTTTGCACTTTGTGAGGTTGGACGAGGCTGTCAGTTCCTGCAATCTCTTCGTCTGGAAGATTGCTCAAGTATTGGAGATGAAGACATTTGCAATATAGCTAAAGGCTGTAGAAATTTGAAGAAACTTCACATTAGTCGATGTTTTGAGGTTCTCTCAAACTTAACAAAGTCTTGATCACCACCTTTTTTATTCTTCATTTACTGTTTACAGAATATGATTATATTTAATTTTGAATTTTTTTTTTTGCTGTTATCCAATATTTCCTTTTGTTTGGAAGAACGGAACAATATGCAGGAACAAGAAAATGCAATTCTTGGTTCTGTATTTGAGTCGTATTCCCTTTTTTGAGATGTTATCTTCAACAATAAATGTGTTCTTTTAAGTTAAAAGATTTATTTGTATATGGCTTCTGTAAAAAATTCTTTATTCGTTACTTATTTGGATAATATCTGTTGCCTTCTGGTATAGATTGGAAACAAGGGAGTTGTAGCAGTTGGAGACTATTGTAGGTCACTCACAGACCTTAGCCTCCAGTTTTGTGATAGGTAACTTTTTCGTTGTTTTGTGGATCAGAATCTACATTATGTCTTTAACGTTGTATATCCCACGGGTCATCTCCTAATCTTATCTACATTATGTCTGTGACGTTGTATATCACACTGGTCATCTCCTAATCTTACCTTTTACTACTAGAGTTGGGGACCAGGCCCTTATTGCTGTTGCTCAGTGTAGATCCCTACAATATCTGAATGTCAGTGGATGCCACCAAATTGGTGATGCTGGATTGATAGCCATTGCAAGAAGTTGCCCGCAAATTAGTTACCTAGACGTAAGTGTTCTTCAGGTGTGTTCTCTCTCCCTCTCTCGCACTCTCTCTTCTCACCCCCAACAAACACATATATCTTGTGACTTATATCTGAAGCACAGGAAGCATCCTTGTTACATTTGAAGAAACAGTGGAAGTTTTCATGTTCATATTGATGCACATGCAACCTAACATGATTGCGTTTTTCCAATCTGTGTTCAACCTAACATGATTTTCGTTTTCAAAAGAATTTGGGGGACATGGCAATGGCTGAACTCGGAGAAGGCTGTCCAAACCTGAAGGACATTGTACTGTCACATTGCCGTCAAGTAACAGATGTTGGTATAAACCATCTTGTTAAAAATTGCACAATGCTTACATCCTGCCACATGGTTTATTGCCCGGGCATAACTTCTGACGGAGTAGCCACGGTGGTTTCGAGTTGCCCCAACATAAAGAAGGTCCTGGTTGAGAAGTATAAGGTTAGCCCAAGAACCAAACGGAGGGCAGCCTCTGTCATTTCCTATCTTTGCGTGGATCTGTAATGTCCGCAATCCGCTTTATGTACATACCCTGAGCTTGCTGAATTCAGGACAGCAATATATAGAAGACAACATCTGGAGCCAAATCCTCTCTTAGGTCTTACATGAAACGGGTTCACCGCCACTGTAACGTTCCATTCTAATATAACAATGACATGTGTAAGTTAATGGCACGTTGTCAAAACGGATTGGAACGCCATGTGGTGGTGAACCCATCGCATGTAAGAACCAGTTATGTACGCATGCCCAAGATCTTTTGCTTATATTTTTCTAACTTTTTTGTTGTTTATTTTTTGTGGCCGTACTGTAATATTAGCAATAAATGTTTGTAATGTCTTTTGTAATAATAGTAGTATTCCTATTCCGAGTGTTGGGGAAAGAAATAAAAGAAGTAATGCTCTGATGGTGTAACTATCTGGCCAATTTTCTCGAGTATTTTCATTTTCGTACAGTTTCTTACAACAACGAGACTCTAACCTAAAATCTTAAACTTCTGTCTCGTCTTGCGTATTTCCTTTGAGCTAAAACTATGGGGGCAATTTCATGGACTCGTAGTTTTAGTGGTTAAGAATATTCCTCTTCACATACAAGTTTTTGAAGTGCAATTACAATCTTGTCACGAGAAAATGAATCCACCTAGCAAAAAATACGAAGTTGTAATTCAGTATTTCTTCATGGGTAGTGCTATTTAAATGCTCATTTTAATTGCCCACACATCTTTGTTAATTTTTATTCATTGATATTTTTCAATTCATTCGATCTAATAAACGAAAATTAAAAAAATGTGTGAGAAGTAAAATTGAATTTGAAAATAGCGGTACCCTTTCCCCATCACTTCCCCTATTGCTTCCCCAAGAGAAAAATGAAAAAGAATATTTTCCCTTTCCTTTTCCTTTAAATAAGTACATTGAAACGACGGCGTAGTGACGGAATTTAAAACAGTGAGTCGAAGATTTAACGTTTCCGGAACCCGCAGAGCTGTGTGACGCTGTTTTCTGTCGGATAATCGGTTGCTGAGAGAAGCCATGACGGGAGGTTGCAGCATCAGAGCCATCTGGATCCTCAACAGTCTCGACGCCGTCGTTTTCTCTAGGTCCTCTCCGAACAAATTCTCACGCTACCCTCTCTCCATATCTATCCATCTATTATATTGCACAACCACAACGAGCTAATCTTAGATACAATTCTTCTGCTTCAAAATTCCAAATTCGATTCGAATTTGGTAACGCTAGATTTTGGGATTTTGAAATCCAACGCCCTAATTTGCTCCTGAGGAAAATTCAGCAACATACAAATTGTTGTTGTTTTTTTTCTTTTAAAAAATTATTAATTTGATTGAGTAAAGCTAACTAATTTGTTAGAGGAGTTTGTGTATTGGTGTACGGAAGCTACGATTGATAACTGGAGTCTATGGTTGTGTTTGTTGGCAGCCAAACAGGAATTTATAAAATCCGAGTTTTGCTGAATTTGGTTTTGTTTTGTAATTTTTACTACTCAGGAGGTTTCCAGTGGTAGAGAAGCGGTGGAGGGGGGTTTGCAAGAGCGAGAACGAGATTTCGGCCGAGGGTAGTTTTTTTCCTGTACTTCCTAGTGATTCAGAGTTAGCCGCTGCATTTGTAGATAGAAAAAGAAGGTCAGTTGAGATTCATTTCTGCTTTGTCACTTTTTTCTTGGGCTGTTTCTGTAAAAATCATGTGAATATGTATTTTGCTAAAATTGTACATCTTGATCTATCAGATTTTATTAGCCTGGTTGATTGAATCACAACTAATGTGCTAAAACGTCTTTGTTTGTTTGAACATGTTAGTTTTGTGACTTACATCTAGTATGTAGTTTTTCTCTGTTACCTCACTCTCACTCTCGCACTTGTTCGGGTTTTATGGGTTTCGTGTATTATGTTATTACAAGTGATTTTCTCATTATAATTGTTGTATCCCTCCTTTTGTAGATTATGGTAACTTTATTACTATGTTTTTTATTTGTCAATGTTACTAGAATTTTCATTTTATGCATGTAGGGAGGGGTCTCTTCGTGGGTTTGGGGTACGCGTAAGTCAGTCAGCTGAAGGCTCAGATTCTTGGGTTGATGATCCAATCACACGTCATATCATTGGAATTTACATTAGTAATGAAGAGGGAGGGGACGATAATCTGCTCTGGCCTTTAATCTTGCACACAAAGGGCCATTATTGCATCCTTGTATTGCCTATGGTGGAGCCCAGGCATTTAAAGGCATTTGTAAAGTTATGTAATAGATCTGATTGTGGCAATGCTGTTGGAGTGGAGGACAGTATATCTACCATTCTGCTTGATCTTCCGTCCATCACAGGGTATGGTAAGTTGCTTTCAATAGTGTTCAGGAAGAATATCATACGAGAAACCATAGTTGTTTTGTCATTCCTCTCCGTATTTTTTAAATTGGCATATGAGCAGTGCCTCAATTAAACTCGTGAAGGGCACATAAATTAGATTAAAATGCATAAATGAGATTAGTGTGTCCCAGATGTTTGTGTAAATTTAAAACCTTGCACATTCCGTTTTGCTTTCTATGGATGGGATGCACTGATTCCAATTTTTTTCTTTTCCTGTTATTTCACCACGTTTCCCTTTCCTCCATTACATTTTCAAAGGGCTGGCATTGCATGTTTGTATGAACTCTAAAGTATAAATTGAATCAACCGTGTAAATGGAATGTGCGACTTTCTTTAAAAACAGTAAGCAGTTATTTTTCTTTTTTGTTATCCCCTAGTGCTTTTATGGTGGCACATGCTATTGGTGACATAATAACTGGTGATGTGGCGGAACCTGAAGTGGTCGTAAGTGCATCCCCATCTGTCGGAGGATTGTTAGACTCACTAACTGGCAGCATAGGAATATCAAGCATCTCCTCAAGGGCAAAACCTGTAGCTGCACCAGTTGCATCCTCAACCCCTTCCGGCATTGCAGCAACAGGAACTGTTACATCAGATGCTCACAAGACTGGTTCTAGGCCTTTAGATAAAGATGCTCTCCGAACTTTCATAAGTAGTTCAATGCCCTTTGGTTGGTACTTCTTACTATGGTATTTCTCATCTTGGATTTTTATATTATCATTATCACTATTGACAATTTAGTGGTTCACCTTTGCTTTGACCTGTTGCTGGTTTAGTGTCTGATGTGCTTGCTGATTGTACATATAGGAACACCGTTGGATTTGAGCTTCCCCAATATTGTTTCCATTAGGGTTAATGGCTTTTCTTCGTCAGATCTTCCTCCTGCAGACCTGAAGCAACCTGCTTGGAAGCCTTACCTATACAAGGGAAGGCAGAGAATACTGTTCTCAGTTCATGAGACTGTCCATGCTGCTTTGTATGATCGAGACGAGATTCCAGATAGTATATCAATTTCTGGTCAAATAAATTGCCGAGCAGAATTAGAAGGATTGCCCGATGTGACCTTCCCCTTAATAGGGTTGAATGCAGATCACATTGAAGTTTTATCATTTCATCCTTGTGTTCAAGTTCCAGAACAAGGTTCTGACAAGCAAGCTGTGATATTTTCACCCCCGTTGGGTAATTTTGTTCTAATGCGTTACCAAGCAGTTTGTGGTCTTGGACCACCCATAAAAGGATTTTACCAGTTGTCTATGGTCTCCGAAGACAAAGGTGATTTCTTATTCAAATTACGGCTACTGGATGGATACAAGTCTCCTCTCGCTATGGAGTTTTGTACTGTGACTATGCCTTTTCCAACAAGAAGGGTTGTATCTTTTGATGGCACTCCATCGGTTGGAATGGTTTCCACTACAGACCATTCTGTGGAATGGAAGATTGTCATGGGTGGGAGGGGCCTCACCAAAAGTATTGAGGCAACTTTCCCTGGGAAAGTTCAGTTTGCACCATGGAAACCTCAAAAATCACCTACCTCTAGTTCAGCCTTTGGAAGCATAGCTGATGAAGATAGTGATATTGAGACAGATGGTAACAATAATAATATGGTAAATGTAGATGAGTTCCTAACGGAAAAAATGAGCAAGGATCTTCATCCAGCTGATTTGGAGGAGCCATTTTGCTGGCATGCATACAATTATGCCAAGGTACTTGCTTCGTCTTTGTTTTTTTTTTATCTCAGAATCAGTTGGGATTTCTTGCAACAGAGAGTGATGTCTTATCCAAAAAAGTCTGTTAGAAATTACAAATTAGAGATATGGCTTCCATTATATTGATTGAATATTCGGATTTAAATTTGGTTTCATTGGTTTTGTTCTCTGTTATTGTTTCTATTCTCTTGCCAGTGTCTATGTGGATTGAATACTAAAATAGTAATGATAATACAAATTTTGTCAAGTGTATATTTTGTTTGTGTCAGTCAAGCATTCGTTTGTACTTTAAAGTGTTTAAGCATTTATTGAAGACCTAGCTTTAACAGAAGATGGCGTTTCCTGACTCATGTTTACAGGTGTCGTTCAAGATTGTTGGGGCTTCATTGTCTGGAATGTCATCAGATCCAAAATCTGTAAGTTTTGCTTCCTTTAATTCTCCTGTCATGGCCTGGTTCGTTACACGAACCCAGGGATAGGCAAGAAGAGGAATAGTCTTGTTGTATTTAGCTCATATTTACATGTATTTTTTGTTTGCTGGCTTTCTTAATTGTTTCTTCTACACGCAGGTAAGCATTTATCCAACCGTTAAAGCACCAGTGGAGTTCTCTACTCAGGTGGGTTTTTCCTCGGACTTCTCTATCTTCAAGCTTGATATATTTGTATTACTCTAAGAATGCATGCTGCGGAAAAATTGTTAGAAAATGTTTGCTGACGTCACTGTCCATAGCAGTTCATTTTTGCATCTTCTTGTTTGAATCTGATTTGTGCTCATCATATAGAAACTAGCATAAGTATATTATATGTAGTCATGGCAATGCTACAGATGGACCAATGATTGTTTCATAACCTGTGACAGTAAAATTCTCATTGGTTTCTTGTTTCTTCTAATAGTAGCAATTTCATTGTTTAAATGTGAAAGTTGGGTATACTTGTCAATCCATTGTTCCTTTTCACTTGTTAAACAGGTTACTTCTGGGGATTACATTTTGTGGAATACGTTGGGTAGGTGCCCGTCTGTTGCTGTAGCAAAAGTATAGGGATGGATATCGATGGCAACCCCGGAATATAAAATGTAAATTCAGGGATCAAGAATGCTCTCTTTATGTAATCCGAGTACACCAGATCTGTGTTTTAAAGTCCGATGTGTGCGTAAACCTTTGTTCTTTGCTAGAGATGGTGTTAAAAAGAAGGGAGGTCAAGTTTATGGTCTGATTTGTTATGAAATGGCGTCTTAAATTTTCTGAATAGATCACTCGTAATTTTAGTTAGTGTTGGAGGAGAAGCCAATCTTCCTGTCGTTGCTTATATGCTGTTAATTACATGAATATTATTGGTTTGAAAGCTAGTTTTCGACAAATTGTCCTTCCTTTACGTTTGTTCCTTGAAACACAAGAATTTACAGGTTCCTAACCATACAAAGAAGCCTTCAAATGGCCATTTACAAGTTGGATGGTCGACTCTTGACAAAATTTTGCCATCCAGGTCCCAACTTCTTCGCAGGAGCCAGCGGACGAAAATGACATCGAAGGCACGGAGAACCCGAGATCTCAACGCGAAGTTTGCCTCCTTGGAACACACTCCATTCAAGGACTGTGTTATGATGTGCATAGTTCATGACTCTGTATTTTATCTCCTTTCATGCTCTCTCTTCATGGTTCAACTTTCTTCTCTCTTATTCTTCCAGAAAGTGTCTCGACGAATGGTAGAGATCGTATGGTGCCCAGAGATGATCGACGGTGCATGGCTTCCGGGAGTCCAACCTCAACCATGGCTTACCCTTCCCGCTCCAGTGCAAAAGACTAATGGGACCAGGGTGGAGGCTCCTACACCTTCCTTCAAAGTTGTCACCGCCTAAGCCATGCTGGTTCCACCGGTGATCCACAGCCTTGATGTTTCCAGCCAAAAGCAGCAAAAAGGGCGGCAGAGACCCCAAATGGTATAGCCTCTTTCGCTTTTGCAACGCCATCCACTCCTCAACCTTCTGCGTATACCCTCCTTTCCTCCATTTATCCACATCCACCACCATCACTCCTGTGTTGAAATAACACGGGTTTCTTCCTTGGAACGTCTTCAACAAATCCGGGTCAGACCAAAATGCGTTAGTGAAATACTTTGTGAAATTTGCCCGGCAATATTCCGGTGCAGCCACCACCTTGTCTTCCATGTCCACACTCCATAGCTTGGCAATGTCATCCACCACAACGAGGTCCGAGTCCAAGTATATAACACGTCTCATCTCATTCGGAAGGATGTCAGCAAGATAGATTCTAGCATAATTCATGGGCTGATCCAATGCTTGTCTTATAGATTTTGATATCTTCCCGCGAACCCAGTCCGAATCAAAGGCATACGTCTTGAAGTTCAAGTAAGGTAACGTAGACTTTATGCTGGAAAAGAACTTAGGCGTAGTATGCGCGGAGAGGAAGTGAAAGTAGAGATTTTCAGGGCATGCCGAGTGTTGCAACAAAGAGAACACGGCAGCCATTGTGCCGCGAAAGTAATTGGCATCTAGGGTCATGGCAACATGGATGCCATCCGCGTTTTCGGAGCCACATTGCTCCCCGTTTCGGAAGGCAGGCGCTTCGCGGAAGACGGGAAGGTCAGGGGAGGGACGGGGAACGAAGCCTAGGCGAATGCCGGAGGTGGTGGTGATGGGGTGGAAGAGGAGGATGGACAGGAGGCCAAGGAGTATTGGGAGAGAGGTTGGAGTACTCAACAAGGCCATCCTGTCAAAGGTGTTTTGGTATTAGTTTTTTGGGGACTTTTGGGAGGTTGTCTCTAAAGACGTAGGCAACGGAAGCGATTTGAAACATTAGAAATTGGGGGTTTTTGGATGTGAGAAGTTGGGATGTTAGAAGTTGGTAGAGAGGGAAAATCTCCGAGTATAATTGTGAGGAAGAGAAAATCTCCTAGGATTTTGGGTTGCCGAAAAGTCGAAAGAGGTCGTTTTTTTTTCTTTCTATTTGTGGCAAATTTGGATGATCTTAGTTAGGCGTTGACAATGTAAAAAAGAATCCAAAAAGTACAGGATTTAAAGGAGTCGTTTGTGCATACCCAATTTCACGTTTTGCATACTTGTTTTGCATACTTGATTTATTTATTTATTCAGCTTAATAGCTAGAATGAAATAAAAAAGCTATACATATGCAAGAGGTGAAACATGGTGTGCATAAATTATTTTCTTATGTTTATTTTTTTTACTACCCATAAGAGTGTTCGAGCTTTTGATTAAAAAAAATATGGGAAACTATCCAAAACACTCTAGAAAACTTTCATTTAACCATAAAGACAAATAATTTCAAAAATATCAAAGTTGCCCTTGAAAACCTTCAGACAACAACTGAATGCAAAAGATAATAAAGTATGGGCATGAGCTCTAGGAGACAAGGCATGCAGGAAGTACACATGCATTCAGCAAGTTCACATGCCGTTCAAAACAAAAGCAAAAGAAGACAAATAACGGTCCACTTTTAGAAACAGTGACACTGACAGTTTTCAGAAATAGTGCAAAGTTACTATTCAAAAAAGTTGTAAATAGTTGTTTGCTTTTTGAAAAATTGTGTTTTGTCACTTAGGAAATTGATTTGTATATAAAGGAGCCTTTCCTCCCATGCAAAAACACATCATACTCACACCATACTTCAATCTTCATACGCTCAAGCATCCGAAGCCTTCCTAGCATCCTTTGTAAGCACTTCTCCTTGTAAACATTTTGCATATCAATAAAAGTTCAAGTGTACATATTCAAGAAATCTCCAAGTCTTAAGTAAGTTTTCTTTCTTTCTTTAGTGTATTTGTTTAATTAAACTTCTAGTCTAAAATAAGAAAACACTATTGTAGTTATATTATTAACTTGCTAAACTGACGATCATACTTTGTTCGAGCACTCTGTTATAGTTGAATGCTTGCCATACAAATAACTGGACATTGACTAGGGTACCTCTGAGTTCAGCTGTTAAGGCCTTATACTTGCATTATGAGTGACTGTCATGCTGAAACATGTCGAGTTCCATGTGCAAGGTTTTACGTCTAGTTGTTATAATGGCCATCTGACTATTTAACCAGGCATTTGCTTTGCGAATTTGGTATCAAAGCCAAGTTTAACATTTTAATAGTATAATTATAATAGTAAAGTACATTGAGGATGAAAGTTATTAACACAACTGATATTACACACTTGTTTAATTTTGTATGAACAATAGATATTATTGTCCTTGTAGACCTTGTTAACCACAACCACTAGGTATTTATTGTCCTAGACACCCAAGTATAACTAGCATAAAGAGAAGATTAACATATACATCCAAAAGAATTAGTAAGACTCTGAAGAAGCAAAAGTTTTATCTTGGTTATCTTGAATACCCTTCATTTATTAGCAAATATAATAATACAGAAGTGCAGCATAGAGTTTTAGAAGCCAAAAGAGCAACAAATCAAACTTCAGAGACATTGAGAGAAGAAAGAAAGTTTCTAAGAAACCAGTTAGCCGTAACTTTAGAGAAAGGTAGAGTGTAGTTTATGATAGATTATCTTAATTTAAAAATTAGCGAACCACAAAAAAAAAAAAAAAAAAAAAAAAAAACCTTAGACCAAAATAGTTTAGTTCGTTATTTTCCATTAAGAAAGCATAATCATATTTTACATAGTGAAGAAAATTCACAAATTAATAGTATTGTAGATCTTATTATTAGTCAAACAGAAAATATAAAATTAGAAAATAATAATCATAATCATTTGTTAAGCCAGTTGTTAGAGCATTTTCAGAAAAATTCCACAAAAACAATTAGACAAAATTTAGTTTATATTACATCTCAGTTAAAAGATAATAATAAAAATATTCAAAGGTTTCCTAGCAAAAGAGAGATAAAGAGCTTATTAACCTCATAGATAGTAAGCCTAACCATGTAGAACTTAGATTGCTAGAGATAGTTTAGCAATTAAAATTAGAAGTTCAAAAAATTCAATTAGTATAAAAAAATTTGAGTGAACAAGTAGATAAGTTGCATAATAAAATAGACAGATTATTAGTTTAATAACCGATTATAGAACTAATAGAAAATATATCCAAGCTTTGAAAGAAATTAGTAAGTTAGATACCAATAGGTTTAACATATTTTTCAACACTAGTAGCTAGTAGTAATATCCCTATTAGACAAAATAATTTAATTATCCAATTAGTTTTAATAGCTGAAAATTAGATCAAGTTGAAGAACAAATACCATAAATAAATCAAGTTTTACATAACGCATCTTCATCACTTCCACCATCTTTGTTAGAAAAATTAGAAATTTAACTTTAAGTACAAATAATCATATTAGAAGACCTAAGATAAATCCTTTTGATAATAGAAAATGAAACTCTTTAGGAGAAAATAAAAAAGAAGTAGTTGGAGCTGAAGATATTTATCCAAATGAAGAAGAAGCACAAGAATTTATTAGAAGAGGTTTTGAGAGAACACAAAGAAATAAATATAATTTGTATCAATTAGGTTTATTTGAAAATAGAAGTAGAATTGTAAGAAGCATTAGTTAACATGAAGTTAGTTGTATTGATAAAGAAGTTACACTTAATTTACTTAGTAAAGAAGCAGTTTCCCATTTCAGAAAATCACATTTCGGTCAGATTCAAATAGGAACAATCTTAATTGGAATAGCAGGATTAACTAGAGCACAAGTCGGCACAAAAGTTTTAGTATACATATATGATGATAGATGAGATAATTATCAACAAGCAGCAATAACAACAGTTGAAGTAGACTTAAGTTCAAACTTAGCAGTTATAAGATGTATTCCAAATTATGTTATGATAATAAATGAATTTAGTATATTAAAGTAAGCATAAGAACAAAAAATTATAATATGAAAGGAGAGTATAAAAAATTGTGTATTAGCTTAATGTATATTGGTAAAGTGTTTGATAAATATAATCATAAGTTTAATTTAGAATTTCAAAATTTAGTTTAAACATTTGGTAGTAATCATGTAAATATGACAGAAGCAAAACCCTTAGAGAATAGCTTTTTAGAAGGAACTCAATGGATATTACTTAATTTACAAATAGCAAGAAATTGACAACCAAATAGAGTACAAATATATGAAACTAGTATAGGTGAAGCAACAAATAGATTTAGTAATTATAAGCTATTAGAAAATATAGAAGATGATGAGAGTGAAATTGAAAATGAAAGTATTCATAAGGCTTTTGATAATTTAGATATTAGTTTCGTAGAGAAATTTTTTGATCATATTGTAGATAAGCTTATAAAAGA